GGGAAGGGAAGGGAAGGGAAGGGAAGGGAAGGGAGGTGAGGTGGGAAGGGAAGGGAGGTGAGGGAAACGAAGGACCGGGAGGAGGCGTGGGGCTGGGCAGAGGATGAAGGAGAAGGCAGCGCAGGGCAGGGAAGCGGGGGTCCAGGTCAGCAGCAGGTGGTGCTCAAAAGGGTGCCTCCCGGGATTCGTAGGCAGCCATCAGGGCCCTTTTGAGCTGCTCATAGGTCACAAACATGACTACGTTCCAGGACCCCAAGCGGAGGAAGGAGGGCATGAACCTAGAGAGAGAAAACACAAGTCATGGAGGTCCCTCCAGCCCCTGCTTCTACCACTGGGCCTAGCCAGCCATCCAACTCATGGACTCTCTCAAAGGAGACTGAGAGGATCTGGTGAAGAGCCCCACAGCTCTGTGCCCAAGAGCGAGAATCCCGAGTACCCAGCTCACTAGTTCTGCTATGCTGGGAACAGAACCCAGTGCCTGCTAGGCAAGCAACCACTGAGCCACCCTCCCCCCAGCCCGAACCCCCATTTTGACCTCTGAAAAACAGAGGTGACAGCAGCTGTGGGGTGTGTGACACGTGGCTGCATCTCACTTCCAGGGGGTTCTCTGCCTTCTGTAAGGCCTGGAGTTGGGGGGGGATCAGAGGCTCACCCCTTGTAGAAGGCTCGGGGCCCCTCCTTCCGGAGCATGGTAAGGGCACAGTGGCCAGCGCTGTGGTACTGGCCCAAGGCAGAGTTCATGTATCTCGTCTTGACCACATCGACGGGGGAGGCGATGACCGTGGTGCAGAAGCCCGCCCCGAAGGCGGAGGTGAAGTGACAAGGGAGGTCATCTGCCGCCAAACAGCGGGAACGGCTGTTAGCTCTCCCGCCCTCACCCACCTCTGCAGCGGGAAAGGCTGTTAGCTCTCCCGCCCTCGCCCATCACTGCTGCGGGAAAGAGTTTTAAGGAGAGAGCTTTTAAAGACACACACAGCAGCTGGGATCTCGTAGGAGGACTTGAAAGATTCTTTTGGCCAATCTAAGCCTGTTTTTCTTTGTGCAAAGTGGGGTCTTCATCCAACTGACTTTGAATGGTAAGAAATATAAACGCCATAAGCAAAAGGCTAAGAAGATGAAAAGATGTGGTCTTCAGGGAACTAGACAGTTCTTATTGACCCTAACATACCTGTCATGAGGTTGGCCTTCAGGAGAGCGTCCTTGATGAGGTCATAGGTCACTAGCTCAGCACAGTTGACAATGGCGTTACGGGCGACATTGGGAGAGGTCCCTGTAGAGGGAGGAGAGCTTGTGTGAGCCCAGGGTATGGGAGAGGGGAGGGGAGGGCAGGGAAGCCAACACCCGGCACACACCTTTCCAGAGGCCCCGGATCCCTTCCTCTCGTGCGATGGTCTTGTAGGCTTCCACGGTGCTCTGGTATCTCCGACCACCGCCAGCCCGGGCCTGAGCCTGGAAGCGGACCTTTACCACATCTGTAGGCTGGGCCACGGCGACCGCCAGGGCACCAGTGGTGCTACCAGCCAGGAGACGGCTCCCGATGCCCGCATCTGTGGGCGCACGGGGGTGGGGTGGGGTGGTGGTCAGTGGCCAGCCGGGCTCGCACTCAGGTACGCCACACTCTTGCCCGACTGCCATGGCACTAGACCACCCTTGCTCTATGAAGCCCTCACAGGGGTATAACACGGAGCAACACAAAACGGAGGCAGTCCTTTCTCGAACGTGTTCCTTTAAGCTGCTTGGCAGCCTCGGAAAATCAGTCAGTCCCATTTAACAAATGTGAAACCCAAGACCAAGAGAAGTGGCTCCTCCTAGCAGAACTGGACTCGAGAGGCAGGCTCTCAGCCGAGCTCTGCCTCTCCTACGGTGTGATCCCGGGGAAGGCATCCTTGTCTTCGGTGCCCAGTTTGCTGACCTTAGGAGGGTATGGTGATACATACTTGTGATGCCAGCACTTGGGAGGCTGAGGCAGTGAAGCTCACGGCCATGTGAACTCAGGCCAGCCAGGGCCGTATAGTGAGACCCTGTCTCAACTCCCTCCCCTCCGAGGAGGGCATATTTAGGAGATGAAAGAGGGTGTGGCTGCCGGCTCTCCATCGTGCCCTTGGCCCAGTCCCTCCCCCATTTCAAGCCTCAGTTTCTGTATCTGTGACCCAGGAGGTCACTTACTGCCATGGCGGTTGTGAGACTCTCATGGGCTCATACCCTGCACAGCGCTGAGATGCCCTGGTGCTCAGATAACAAGGAACCGGGGTCACTTCCACCCCTCTGATCCTCCCAGGGGTCTTGGGAGGCCTAAAGGAGCCATTCAGCTATTCAAACTAAGGCCACGCATCGGCTGTGCCCTGGCTGCATACTCACGCTCGGAACCCTTGGTGTAGAACTGCTTGACAGAGTCGTAGAGGCCAATGCGGACAGAGGCAAAGCTCATCTGGCGCTGCAGGCCGGCGACCAGCCCGTTGTAGAGGCTGCGTGGGCCCTCGGTGCGCACCATGGTCAGGATGGTGCCCAGCACGCCACGGTACTGGGCGTTGGCTGCGGTGCGCACTAGCCCTTGACTTTCTCCTTGGATCTGAAAGGCCAAGAGGGAGTGGCTGTGGGCACAGGCAGATGGTTCTGCCATCTCCTGCCAGCTCTAGGCAGCTCATCACTCACCCCTGAGGAGGCTGACCCGGGGAGGGAGGGAGCACCAGGAGCTGCCTTTCATCCTCACCTGCAGCCGGACTTTGGCAGTATCTAGAGGAAAGGTGATGAGATCCGCAATGCAGGCGGCTGTCCCAGCCCCCAGGAACTTCACGGTGGCTGTAGGGGGCACATCTGTGGCCTTGAAACCAACCATGATTCTGATTTCCTTCTACCTCCCAGAAGATGGAGAAAAACTGGAGAAGTGGGAGCCTTCAATCAGCAAGACGAGACAGAGGAACTCTGCCGGAATCTAAGCCAAAAGAAGAGAAGAAAGAAGTCCTTCAGGAACAGCATCCCCTGGCCTCGCTCCCTGCTCACCACTACCTACCCCTGTCCACCTTCCCTAAAGGCACCAAGGAGGTCTCAGGGGTTCTAGGAGAACCCTGGGAGAGCTCCAAGAGTAGTCAGGTGGGGTCTGGGAAGCAATTCCTGCCAAGGAGCCGAGATTCAGTGAAGGGCTTCCTCTTACTTAGTGTACGGACTATGGCTTCCGGGTCATCCTGAGACGGCCTCACAGCCACCAACCGGCTCCCGATCTGCTGGCACAGACTGCAAAGAGCAGGGCCACATTCCTGTTCTGTGGGTCTATCCCAAGGGCTGACAGAAGTGAGGGAAAGCTCGGCCAGAGCAGGACCTGGCACGGCAAACCCCACAGGCTTTTGTTCTGGGTTCCTAAGCAGGGGAGGTTCGGGCTGGTGTGTAATTACTGAAGGAAGGAAGACGTGTTAATTCCATCCTTGCTAGCCCCGACAGCTCAGGCCCTGGGCCTCCCCGGGTGCAGGTTCACAGAGGTCACTGGCCACCCTCTCCAGGCTCACTGGCAGGCACAGGGCAAGGCCAGGAGGCCCGGGGCAGCCAGGAGGCCTGTCTGTTTTTCTGCAGGGCAGGGAAATTCTCGGTTCTCGGTGGCGGGATGGGAGGTGCAGGCCACAGCCACACAGAGGACACAGATACAGGAAACCAGAAGCTCCATTTTGTTCTGAGAGTTGGAACACCACCCTCCTCACTCAGTGCCCCAGGAGGAAGTGAGCCCGGCCCCCAGTGGGGGAGGGTGACCTGCTTCTTCTTCTTCCCTACTTTCGCTTCTCTGATTTCATTGGAGCAACCGCTCAGAGCCCAGCTTGATTGGCTGTCTGTGTTGCCAGGGCTCAGGAGGAGAGCCCCGGCTGGAGGAGGGAGGATGTGGTGGTAGTCACCTGTGAACCCAGACAACCATGGTAACAAAACAGCTTGGGACAAACAGGGCCGCCAGAGCGACTCCCCAGAACAACGGGTTCAAGAGCGCCTCGGGGGCATCGCCGGATCCACGTGCCTTTGAGTCTCGGCCCCTGGGGCTCAGCGAGACAGACACCAAATGGCAAATGGTAAGGGTGGAGGTGCTTCTGGACTCCCCAGGGGGGACACCCCCTTCTCCACGGCTTTGACTCCACAGCTCCTACACGCACAGAACCCTGAGAAATCCTGAGGGCAGTCCGGGAGGCAGCTGCCCTCCCTGTTAGACGGACGAGCTCTCAGACCCGGGTCTGCGGGCTCCAGAGCCCGGGTCCGCGGGCTCCAGAGCTGCTCCGTGGTTCTGAACTGTGGTGCCTCTCTCCTCTCCTCCTGTCTTCTCAGTCCCAGGCTCTGCCAGGGCCCTTCACAACGGGAACCCGTTCACGCCCATTAAACAGTTCTGAGATGCTCCGAACAGTCCCCTTCTAAGCATCAGTGACATGAGACAGGAGCCCATGGCATTTCGGCCTGATCTCGAGCTAAGGGGAGCGTGGTGTGAAACCCAGAAAGATGAAGTCTCAGTTGCTTTCCAAACCAAAAACACGTGGCTCAGCCGCCATTGTGAGTGCTGCTTAGGGGTTTCCAAACCCCTTGAGGGTTGGGTATAGAGGCAAAGATCACCTGTACTAAAGCTCCTACTACAGGTAAAACCCAGGCCTAGAAAGCTAACTGTGCTAGGCATGGTGCTGCATGCCATTAGTTCTCCCTGGCCTTGGGAGGCAGGCAGATCTCTGAGTTCAAGGCCAGTCTGGGCTACATAGGCCAACCAAAGGCATGTGGTGAGACCCTGACCACACCCAAACAAAACAGAACAAAACAAAACAAAACAAAAACTGTTTTACAGGACCAGACAAGTAACCACCAGAGGTAGTAAAAAACTCACACCCAATTTCTAATCTCACAGGGATGGTCCAGGAACTGAGTCTGGTCCCTGGCACCCATATGGTAGAAGCTGTCTTCTGACCTCCATCAGCATGCCCTGGCCCCCACGTCACTCACACACACACACACACACACACACACACACACACACACACACACACAAAACACAAACAAATACACAACCAAACGCCCAATAAGCTCCTGCCCCCTCAGCTGCTGACTGCCAGGGCCCCCCAGAACCAGTTCCGCCCCACTTGGGTTAGGCTCTGCCTTTAGACACCGCAGTCCGCCATCTTTGAGGGCCAGAAGGTGACCAGGATGACAAGTGCTTACTGAACTGTGAAGAGCCACTTGCTAGGGTGGAGGAGGGTATTGTGTGATGGTCCTGCTGACTGCAGCCCCAGGCCCGAGAGGGGACCGTGGGCTTCCTTAGCCTGGCTCTTACCTGGTGCGGAGCTTTGAGGTCTCACACTGAGGCCTCCAGGATCAAGCTTCTCTAAAGGTGTCCCGTTCTTCAAAGCTGCCAGTGGCTATCATGGCCTGATCCCCGCGGTTTTCCATAGAAAGTGGCTGGGAGACGGAACTCTTAAAGATCATACTATGTGTCCTGTGGGCGAGAGGCAAAAAGCCACGTTTAGAAAGGGATGTTCTCTTTGCAGGACCACAGCCTACAAAGGACGGGTCACCTGCCACACAAGCCCTTTCAGACAGCTTCGCTGGGAGGGACCCAAGGCCGGTTTCACTTAGGGCAGCCAGGATCTAGTTAAGGGCACCCTGGGGCAGAGCGGGGTGCCTGGACTCAGGAGTCTTTCCTCCCACACTGGGTGATTTCCAAAGTTCTTTCCCCACAGTTGTGGAGATAGGCAGCCTCGCTGTGCTGGGAAACAGTCTCTTGACTGTTGAGCGGAGCACTGTGTCTCTTTGTGTGCGGTCATGATAAGGCCGGCTCAGTCCCTCTGTGTCCCTACTCCCACCTCTGGCCTCCGGCAGATTGGAGAGTCTGACAGTGGCCAATTAATCTCCAAGCCTCCTCCAGGCACAAACAACCCCAGAAACAAGAACAGGCTTTAGGGCACATGGCCCAGAGAAGCCTGGTGACAATCGGTCTGGTCTTCGCTGACGTGGAAGGTGTGCGTTGCATGTCGTCCCCCACCCCCACCCCCACGCCCCACGCCGAGGGGAAGGAGTGGATGCATAAAGGCTAACCTACAACCAAAGGGACGCCAGAGACAAAGAACAAAGAGACTTAGTAGGAGGGAAGAGACAGAAAGGAACAAGAGAGGGCAGGCTAGGACTCCAGGGAAGGGAAATCAAAGGGCAAAGAGAGATGGAGAGGGAAGGAACAGGTGAGGCCGGCGCGGGGCTGGGGCCACGCTCACCGGACCGCAGGAGAACACGGGAGTGGGGGGCGGCTGTGTCCGACGGCGGCGGGCGAGTGACGGCTGCCCAGGAAGCGCTCGATCCGAAGGCACTGCGGGCGGGGCTGACAGTGGCTGCGAACCCACGGCTGCAGAACTTAAGTCTCGCGGGCGTGGTCGGGGCGTGGTGTGGCCGGGGCGGAGCCAGGGTGGCCCACTCTCCCGGGTGAAGGGGGAGTTTCCATCCGTGGTTGTGTGGGCGTCTAGTGTCACCCCTGCTTCCGCGAGGGCAGATGGCCGTGTGGGTCCCCCGGTCTCCCCAGAGGGTCCCGGCCTCTGGTCCCCAGGCCTCCACTCTCATTGTGAGGATAGCCAGACTGACTGGCCCCCTGCTGTGGCTCGCGGACCCCCCACGCCCTGCAAGCCACCTGCGGACGGGGCGGAGCGCGGGCTCCAGGGACCGGAACCACCCCGGGCGCGGCGGTGGGGTGAGGCTGGGGTTCCCGCCTTCTGCCGCTCCCGTCTGGTCCCTGGGGGCCCGGGCACCTAACGGCTGGGGTGGGGCGAGTGCACCCGGCCTCACCTCCTCCTCTCTGCACCGACCGCAGCCAGGCCGGCGCCCCGCAAGGAAGAGGGCAGAGCCCGGGTGCTGCATTCCGAGCCCGGGGGATGACAGGCTCAGCAGGTGTCCACGTAGGGGTGACGGACACGAAAACAACACTCGAGCCCTGTGTCCGCGACCAACGTACATTGTGAGAGGAGGAAGCAGGTCTCAGTTGGTCTTTGGACTGTGTTCCTGCTTTGGTACTCTCGGGCTTTCTTCTTTTGTTTTGATTCGTGTCTGCCCCAGAGACTTGCTTTAAAGAAGTTAGCTCAGGGCGTGGAACTCTTTTTGCTTGCCCAGGAGTTAGGCGCCCTAAGAACAGGAAGCGGGAACCAAGGACCCGAATATCCTGTAATAGAGGCTCAAGTTGGTTTGGGCTGCTATGGAAAGTGCAGGGGGAGGAGGGGGTTGAGTGAACCCGTGTAGAAAGCAATTATTATGCGCCAGGTAGGCGAGGACACCTCATACAACCCGCCCAAACTGTCGTTAACCTTTATTTTCCAGGACAGGAAACTGTACCAGGCCCCCAGACCTTAGCACAGCTGACTCCATGATGGAAGTACCATTCAGGCTGTAAAACTCAGAACCGAGCTGAGCACCCAGACAGCACCACCAGCCAAAATGGAAATAAAGACCTAATCCATCAAAGCCCACAGTTCTTCACAAGTCTCTAAATAGACTAACCTTGTTTCTCGGCTTCTGTCGTTCTGTTTCTGGTTGTTTTTGTTAACTGAAGTATGTCAACTCCAAACCGTTTTTTGTGCTTAAAAGCTCACCCAGAGAAAGGTTCAGTGCTACACTAGGATAGCTACCCAGTGTAGCTGGCTAATAAAGACTTTCTATTGGCCTGTCGGTCTGAGCAGTCTTCTCCAGTGGATCCCCCACAACAAAACCAAATCCAAAGAGATGAAATCCCTTGCCTAATGGCACACAGTGGCACACTCTGGCTTAAACTCTGGCCACTTGGAAACCAGGTAGATAATGTTCTGTCCGTCCAAAGCAGAAACAAGGATACAGAAGGTAAGGCAGAAAATGATTTCCATCACTGTGGCTGGAGTCACCTGGCTGGTCAACTTTTGCTCTGGATTCTGACTCTGGCTGTGGTGAAGGAACCGCCAGGATTCTTGGCGAATTTGTGGTGGAGAGGGAGATCAAGATGGATCCAGACTAGGCTGTCTGGCCAGTGAAGCCCAGCATCCTCCTGTGTCTGCCTCCTCAGCATTGAGATTATTCGATTGTGGGAGTGCAGGGGATTCGAACTCAGGTCTCCATGCTTTTGCCACAGAGCACTTTACTGACTGAGCCATCTCCCCGTCAGCCCATGCTTCTTTTTATGTGGCCCAGGTTTGAGTGGACCTGGGAAGTAGAGGCTGTAACCAGTGTGGTTCTCTTCTGATGGCTGAAGCTGCTGGGTGCGGCATTCGGCTACTTGGTCAGTACCTGCCAAAGCCTTCGCCTATGTTGGCTGTAGTGGTAACGGCCTTGGAGCAAACCCCTGTGTCTGCCCCAAAGCAGGCGAGATCAGAGCCCAGTTGGAATTGCTACTGCTGTCCCCAAGTCTGGTAGACATGTGAGCCATGTTGCTGCTACTCCTCAAGTGAAACAGGTGGTAGTGGTGTGTGTAGGGGGTGGGTGGGTGGCGACACACACAATGCTTTGACCCAACCATTTTTGTGGAGACTGTAGGATGTGTCAGCTGCACAGCCGCTGCTCCCAGGACTCCCCCAGATGTTGTCATGGCAGCCTTGGCTACTTTTAAGATCTCACAGCTGCCCAGGAAGACCTTGACCCATCCAGTGGTTTACATATACAATAGCTCCTGGCTTCTCGTGTGTGTGTGTGTGTGTGTGTGTGTGTGTGTGTGTGTGTGTGTGTGTTTATGTGCCTGGATTTGTGGATGTGTATGCTGTGAGGGTGGGGTGGACAGGATGGGTGGGTGGGGTGGTAATAAGCTATAAAAGGAGAAAGGGGACCATGGCAGGAGAGAAGGTTTTAAGGGAGGAACAAGGTGACGGGGTGGTGGTATAGGGACTACTGATGGCCTGAGCAGAGTGTAGGGAGGACGGAGAGAAGAGCAGGGGAGGAGATCAACCAAACTGAGTGCTTTAAGAAAAACACCAAAATGCCTGGGTATGGTGGTGCATGCCCTTAGTCCCAGTGCTCCTGAGGCAGAGGCAGGTGGATCTCTGTGAGTTCAAGGCCAGCCTGCTCTACAGAGTGAGGGCAGGGCTGTTATGCAGAGAAATCCTGTCTTTAAAAAAAACAAACCCCTGAAAAAGAAAAAAGAAAAATGCCAAAATGAAGGCCTTTAATTCCAGTGCTTGGAGGGCAGAGGTAGAAGAATGGATCTCCGTGAGTTCAAGACCAGCTTGGTCTATATAACAAGTTTCAGGACAGCCAGGGCTACATAGAAAGACACAGTCTCAAAACAAACACACAGAAAAGAAAGGAAAGGAAAATGCCAATGTTTCAATGTTAATTTAAGTATCTCTCTCTCTGTGAGATATATATATATATATATATATATATATGTATATATATATATATACACATACACACACACACACATATTTATATCCTCCCCCCCCCTCCGGAGCTGAGGACCGAACCCAGGGCCTTGCGCTTGCTGAGCTAAATTCCCAACCCTAAAAATATATTTTTACTCATAAGATTTCCATAGTCAGTTATCATCTATGGTATCACCATTGTTATTGAATCTAGGTTCAAACTAGTTTATTTCTGCTTGATATACTAGAAGAATTTGAGGAAAAGCAGATTTCCTTTTTTTTAAGGTTTTATTTATTTTAAAGTGTGTGTATGTATGTGTGAATGCACAAGTGTGTATGAGTGGAGGCCAGAAGCCTTGGATGCCCCCAAAACTGGAATCACCTGGGGTTGCGCACCAAACGGATTCTGGGACCAGAATTCAGACTCCCTGCAGGAGCACTGTGTGCTCTTAACTGCTGAGCCATCTCTCCAGCCCTTGGGTTTCTTCTGAATGTCTTGACTGAGGGTAGACATATGTTGGTTGCGGGGTCACAGAGCCCAGGAGTCCATCTCCCTGGTGTGTGTGGGGCTCTGCTGTTGAGTTGACCTTTTCATGAGTTCACACCAATTCCTAGACACCGAAGTTGAAGCCAGGACTACAAGGGTGGGGTAAACAGTCTTTGGGGTCCCAGAACTAAAGGCCCGTAGATGTACCAGTTTAATGTCCTCTTTTAAGAAGTGGGCAGAGGGTGGAGATCAGCTGGGAGGGTGCTTGCCTAGCAAAGTTCTGAGTTTGACTCTCAGAACAAAACAAAACAAAAAGCCAAAGAATTTGCCCAGGGGTCCTCAGACTACTCATCAGTTTTATCTTCCTGCCTCCAAAAGGCTGGACTCAAAATTTCTGGGATCCTCATCTCCATCAACATCTTTCAGGTTAGGCTTGGTGAGACACTCTTGGAATTCCAAAATTGGAGGGGCAGAGGCAGGAGATCTGTAGTTCAAGGTCTTCTGCTACATAGTAAATTCAGGCCAGCCTGGACTACGGGCGGACTGTCTCAAAAACTAAACCAAGACTACCCTAACCTCCCAGTTCCTCCTCCCCCTTCTTCTCCGCTCGCCCCTCCTCCTCCTCATCTGCACAGTCTCCTAATAACACAGAAATGACTAGAAGACAGTTCCTGGCCCCCGGGGACTTGAATGAGAGAGCAGTTTAACAGTGATTTACACATGTCAGTCAAGTCAACAGGAAGAGGGCCTTCTAAAGGCAGGTTTTTATTTGAAGGCTAGGAGAGGCATTAAGTCAAGGTAATTTCTTTTGATTTTGTTTCAACGATCTAGTTACAGTTGAGACTTGGGCATGCCAAGGTACAGTTTTTCTCAGTGAGCTGAGTCTGGGCAGGAAGGAAGAAATGACATTGCCAAGCTCCTCCTGTATTTTTAATTTTTTTTGTTTTTGGTTTTTTTTCCCAGGGTTTCTCTGTGTAACAGTCCTGGCTGTCTTGGAACTCACTCTGTAGATCAGGCTGGCCTTGAACTCACAGAGATCCACTAACATTTCTCTGGGAGGACACTGAAAAGCAAGGGCTCTCTGTGGCTAGGTGGCTAGTACAGTGAGGTGGGATGAGGCCTGGAGACTGACTGGTTCTTCTCTTTCTTTTTTCTTTTCCAGACCAGGTCTCATGTGTCTCAAGGTGACTTTGAACTTGCTGTGGAGCCAAGGTTGGACCTTGAACTCCTGATCCACCTTTCTCTACCTCCTGTGTGCTGGCATCACAGGTGATCGAGGCCATGTCTGGTTTATGTGGTGCTGAGGGTCACCCTCAGGGCTCTGCATGCTAGGCAAGCGCTCAGCCGATGAATTCCATCTCCAGCCTGGAGCCCCTTCTGACGTCCATCAGAGCCAACCAAGCTCCTAAGAAGCAGGCCGAGACTGTACGACACTGGAAGACACAGCTGGACAGATGTGCACTGTCTGAGTTACTTCTCCATTGCTGTGATGAAACACCATGACCAAGACCACTTAGAGAAGGGAGTTTTATTTGGGGCTGACAGTTCTGGAGAGAAAGAGTCCGTCTTGGTGAGACATCTGGCAGCAGGCCTGGTGGCTGGAGCAGCCCCTGAGAACTCACACCCCACACTGAAAGCAGGAAACAGAGAAAAACTGGGATGCCATGAGTCTCTGGACTCCCAATGCCAGTCCCCACAGCACACTTCTTCCAGCAAGGCCGAATCTTCTAAGCGTCCCCAAACAGCCCCCAACAATGGGGGACCAAGTATTCAAATGCCTGGGACATTTGGGGGGCATCTCCTTCAAACCACCATATGCAGTTAAACTTTCTTTCCCCCATGTATTCCTTGTTCATTGTGTTTGTCCATGTATACATTCACATGTATGTATGAGCATGCCTGTGGAGGTCAGATGGTAACCTGGAAGAGTCAGTTCTCTCCTTCCACCTTGTGGGGCCCGGGGATTGAACCCAGGGAGCCATGCCATCGCCGGATGTGCGGTCTTCAGCTTGGAAGTTGGTCCTGTGCTTCAGGACTTCCTCTTGTAGATGGAGGAGGGGCATTGTCTCTGCAGCCAAAGGCAGTGAGAGAGAAGGAAGTCCAGGCGAGTGGAGCCGGCCGGGAGTGTGGCCACTCTGACAAGCGGGGCTTGAGAAAATCTGTCGGAGAGAGAAGGCAGGAAAGCAGCCGTTCTTATTTCCCTTGAGGTAGGATTCTTTTAATTGAGTCAAAGCAGTTTCCTAAAGATTCTGGGTCCTGCTGCTTTGGACTGATGGACAGGTAGTGCCTCTTCTCCTGACCCACAGCCCTTTGCCGTTACCAGGCAGCAGGGTTCCCATGGGGTCAGTCATCCGTGGTCCTCACCATGCTGGTGTGCATGGCCTCACCGCTAAACTGCATTTTCGCCAGGCTTCCTCTCTGGACAAAATCTCTCCTAGAGCAGTGTGTTCGTGTTTACATTTGTAGACAGGCATTGTTCATATAAAGTGCTTCCCTGCCCTGCTCCTCATTCGATCCTCCCAACACCCCGAGGTAGACAGGCAGGGACTGTTACTCACTGTACATCCTCCATCCTCCAGTGTCCCGGGTGGGCCCAGCTGGACCCGCTTTTATGGGCCCAATGTTTTCTTTTTCCTTTCTCATTTTCCCAGAATCTTAATAGAGACCACTTGGCGGTCTCATTACAGAAGGGCAGATGTCCTCAGGTGACTGTAAAGGCTGTCGTCATAGTTTTGTGCTGAAGATGAAATGTCCCTGGGGCGTTTTAGGTGATTCCACTACACAGTGGGCTGATCTTCCCAATGCTTGCAGCCTTTCCGCGTCTAATCCTACATTTCTGGGGGGTTGGCAAACCTCCCTTTTGTCCAAAGGAATCGGATTTTCTTTTGCCTAAATGTTAGGCATCCAACCATAAGGGCTTTAAAAATTAATATAATTTAATTCCCATCAGGTCAGTGCAAAACAAAGGTGTTTTAGGACAAAACTCGGAAGACTAAAACTTTCCTCCTCTTTTAGTTCAGTTTCTTGAATCAACAACAAGTGCAGAGTTCTGTAATGTGTGTGGGCCTGGGTCCTCTGGGTCCACTGGGTCCTCTGGGTCCACTCGGTCCATCGGGTCCGCTGGCAGAGAGCCGCGGTTTCATTCTCTTCTAGGCAGCCTTTTACGAGGAAACCACCAAGTAGCCCGCTTGCCGTGTTCAAAATGGAGATTCCCGCAATACCTGGATTTTCATCAAGGCCCGCTTCAGCTGCTCGTAGGTTACAAACATCATCACGTTCCAGGCCCCCAAACGCAGAAAGGAGGGCACAAACCTGAGGAGAGAAACGACGACCACGTGAGGAAGACCGGGCTGGGAGGGAGGCACAGGCACACCTCCTGCGCTGTCGCCAGGCCGGCTGAAGCTGCTTGTCACAGTTCTTTCCTGAGATCCGTTTTGGTTTTGCTGTCTCTGCTTGAAGGGATTTTGGCAGGAGTTGGAATCAGAAAAGGAAAGAAAGCTAACTTTAAGGCAGGTTACCGTGTGGGGAAGCTAATTCTCACAGGTCTATGGGCTCACTCTGCTGGTTGCAAGTCCTTTTTGGAAACTGAGGCCAGAGAGGCTGAGGAACC